CTGCTAGGCGACGTCTCCACTCGCTGGAACTCCATCTGCGTCATGCTTGAACGCTTGGTGGAGAAGGAGAGAGCCCTGACTGCCCTGATCTCTGAGAGGGGGGTCATTCAGCAAGAGAGCCGGGTCAATCATGAGGAGTGGTTGATCATCTCTCAGGCTGTGGACGTTCTTAAGCCCTTAAAGACCTTCACAGAATTGCTCTCGTCTGACACGGCGGGCTTGGCTTTTGTCATCCCCATGGTCCTTGCAGTCCATGAGGAGTTGGCATCGTTTCTGAAGCCACCTGCAGGACATGCAGACATTCTTCCAGCGGTGTGCACCCTGGTGAGAAGGCTGCAAAGTGCACTGCAGAGGCGCTTTGAGCCTATCCTCCGGGACAGGATCTACACGATGGCGACCATGTGTGATCCGCGCATAAAGGGCAAGATCGCTGAGCGGGCCAACGAGTTAATTCGATTGAGGAATCTTCTCTTCAAGCGAGTTGGCAAGATGCGAGCCAAGATGGGAACGTCATCAGGAGCTGCGGGAGGGGAGGGTGCCAGCACCTAGAGTGCTGTTCATCCTCCACCTCCCCTGCTAGGCAGCGTCCCCCTCACGGCTCCCGCCACCACGAATCCTGAGATGGCATTCATGGGGCGGATCCTTGGCCCCTCTGGGAGTGGAGGTCACACGAGAGAGGACACGGCTGCTGCGATGGTGAGGGATTACCTTGTGGAGCCCTACGAACCGGAGTCCACCTGTCCGCTTAGCTACTGGGCCATGAAGGAGGCAGTCTGGCCGGCCCTCTCTGCCATGGCCCTGAAGCTACTCTCGTGCCCTCCGGCGAGCATTCGGAGTGAGCGCTTCTTTTCCCATGCGGGCGACATTGTCTGCCCGCATCGCTCACGCCTGAGCCCCTGGTCAGTTGAGCAGTTGGTCTTCCTGAAGGTCAACTTGCCACTGTTTGGTTTCCCGGAACTAGACTATGAAGATTGAAGTGAGCACATCCTTGTGCCTGCAATCCTCTCTTGGTCTGTGCTGGGAATTTGGGCCACGCTCGTCCCATGATTAAAACTAGATGCTAGGGCAAAGTAGCAGCCAGGGCCATGACCATTTTGATTGGCACAGAAATGCCCCACCAAT